GAAGGGGACCCCTTCTCAGTGTGGGCCCGAGGGGTGGGGGGTCCTGCGCTCACTGTCGGCCGGCAGGTAGAAGACGAGGATGGCCAGGAAGGCGATGAGGACACAGGGCATGACGATGTTGATGATGTAGAAGAGCGGCTTGCGCTTGATGATGAGGTAGAAGGTGATGTCCTGGTAGGCGTTGCTGTCAGGTGTGAAGTTCGGGTCGATGTTCTTGCGGGCTGGCTTGTGGATGATCTCCCACTCCCCGTTCTCTGCGGGAGAGGGGAGCAGGGAAGGGCATCACCATGGGCTTTGCAGTCCCCTTGCTGGCCTGGAACGGGCCGTCCCCGGGCCACCCACCACCCTGGACACGAGCCTGGCCGGACGCTGCGAGGAGACAGCCTGGCGCTGTCCTCAGGGGCACAGCACATACCCCGGTCATGAGACCAGACTGGGGCTGGGGCGGACACTCTTTACCAGTGAAGGCCGCGAGGTCGATCTCGACCCACTCCGTGCGGAAGGATTTATTGGTGGTTTTATCGAACTCTTGCCGCAGCTGCATGTTGATCTCCTTGGCGTTGTACATGAGGGATCTGCCCCAGAGAGAGGCAGGTGAGTACATGCCAGCCTGTGCCTGCCCGGTACCCCTCCTCGTCCTCCTCCTCCTCCTCAACTCCAGCACCCGTCCCCTGCGCTGGCTGCCGAATCCACCTCTGCCAAGAGCCAGAAGACCAATGGCTCTGGGCCCTGGCGGGCACGTGTGGCCTTGGGTGGAGGTCATCTCTACCCACGGGTCGGTGTCTGGGGCTGAGCTGAGCCAGCGCATCCCGGTTGGAGGCCTCAGCCTCTGTCTTGTACCCAGGTGTCACTGCTACCCTGGGTAATGGGGAGCCTGGCCTCAACCCACTGACATCAATAGGGAGATGCCTGTTGGGACTGCTCCAAGGTAGATGCAAATGGGTGTCTTCCCACCTGACTTCAGAGGGCTTTAGGGCTCTGTGCCAGGACTGGGGCCGGTAATGGGGCTGTATTGGCCAAACTGGGGCATGGGAATGGATCCCAGGCTGCTGGGGCCATGCTATGTGGGCACGTATGGCTGGAAGGAACCTCAGGAGACTGTCTAGCCTGCGGCACCCGGACCAGCCCCGACAGACGCTTGTCCTGAAAAGCCTCCGGCCAAGGATATCCCACAGCCCGTTCCACCACACCCACCCTTGGGAAGGATCCAGCCTGTGTCCTTGCCCATCAAACCCATTTCCTCTTGTCCTTAATTCTCCTTGTCTTCCTGCCAGGGCCACGGAGAACAACTTGTCCTCCTCCTCCTCTTCGTGGAGGTCTGTTACAGGGAGGTCCTGTGTTCCTCTCGGCCTCCCCTCTTCTAGATGACAGGCCCGAGGGGTGGTGGGCAGTGGTGGCGAGTGACCCCGTCCGTACCTGAACTTCAGGCTGCAGTTCTGCCAGTCGTAGGGGAAGAACTTGACGTTGATGGGGCAGGCGCTGTGGAAGATGGCGGGCGGCAGCCAGTACATGTCGCCCGTGTTGTAGACCAGCACGTTGCAGTAGTATGCGATCTGGAAGGTGCCGTCGTTGCTGTGCAAACAGAGGGTGCTGGAGGGTGAGCGCTGCCAGCCATGGGGGTCAAGAAGGCCCCGATTCTCCCCCCCTGCCACTGCTGTACTGGTCCCGTGGGAGAGGAGGCCCCTGCCAGGATACCCCAACTAAAGGTTTTCTGGCACCAGAGCAATGGGGCAGTCTCCTCGGGGCTTGGACTCTGCTGAGTGATTAGCATCCCCGTCCTCAGCTTGAGGAGGGTGTGAAGGTCCCGAAGGACCATGTGCTCCCAGGCCGTGGGATGCATGTTCCCACCAGCTTGTGGCTGTGAGTACCACAATGGAGACTGAAAAGCAGGAATCTGAAGAGGGTGTTGCTGACAGCTCCATGCACGGATCCAGCCAGCACAGGGCCCTGTCCCCGCACCCCTTTCCTCACTGGAGGGACGCCGAGTGGGTTAGGGCATCCCCGCCTCACAGGCATCACTGGCCAGAGCAGCCAGCCCAGAGCTAGTGGTGTGCCAGTGATGGGTACAGACACGGCCTGGCCTCCATGGGCTCAGCAGGGCACGCTGCTCACTTGTTCTCCAAGAAGATCTCGGGCAGCCACAGTATGTCCGGGGGGAGCCGGAGGATCTGGATGCCGCCAAACTCCGACTTGTTCCACTGCAGCCGAAGATCCACCCAGCTCTGCAGAGAAGCCCGGGAGACCGGTTCACCTACTTACAGATGGGAACCGGCCGTGCATCCAGAAGCCACCTCTGCCCAGACTGACTGGCACAGCAGGGGGATCGGGGGTAGGCTCTGCCCGGAGAAGGCACCTTTGGCCTCCTGTGCCTCAAGGGCCAGGCTCGAGGGGCCAGAGGAGCCGTGGGGAGGCTGCCATGGCTTCTGGGGGACAGGAGTGCTGCAGCAAGCAGGCACCGGGGGCAGAGGGATGGGCAAGGGTTGGGAGTGAGGAGAGGGGCAGTAGCTGGCTCCACCGCTGAGCCCTCCCCACCCTAAAATCTGCCCCAGGGACCCCGAACCCACTCACGTGCTCAATCCAGACACTGGTGGCGAGGGTCTCGTCGGCTTCTTTCTGTAACGACACCAGGCAGCAATGAGGTGCAGCCTGGGCCCCCCGCCACCCTCTGCAGCGGTGCTGCATCTCCGGCATGTCCTGGTGTGGCCTGGGGGCACAGTGCAATTGCAGCTTCCTCCCTCAGCTCCTGGGGACCTGGTCTGGGTTGGGGCTGAGGACCCAGCTGGGTCTTTCAGGGCAGGATGAGGCCCATGGTGAGGCGGGAGAAGCCTCCTTGAAGTCCTGGGAGGCCCCTGAGCTGCCCTGTGGGGTGGGTCCTGGCTGCCTCATGCCCAGGGGGTTCCCTTGGTGCGCCCCCACCCCACGCACCAGTGAGACGAGGTTGGAGAGCGTCAGGGCAATGTAGAGGTCGACGGCCTGGTCTGTGGAGGCGACGGGGCGCAGGTCCTTGTTGTAGCCCTTCTCGTTGAAGAGGTAGTTGATGAGCCGCTCCTCCTGGTTCACGCACGAGCCGCCTGTGGGTGTGCGGCCCCATGAACACTCAGGGGGGTCTGGGGGTGGGAGGGGGGACCTGCCAAGCCAGGCAGGTGGGGGGCAAAGGGGCAGGGGTCCTGGTCTCCTGCCACTGCCCCCAGAACACGCCTCCCGGGGCCTGGGGCAGGGAGTGCCTCTGTCCTGCAAGGGGCGAGGGCGGCTGGTCACACCAAGCCTGTGGCCCCCTGCCAGGAAAGGCTCTTTCTGCCCTGTTCTGAGGTCCCGCCAGCTCTGGGGCTCCATGGGGCTCAGGCTCCCTCCGGGATCAGCACAAAGCCACTGGCGGCCGCAGACTCTGCAACCCCTCCCAGCTGGCACCCCCCGCACCCCTATCCTTACCCGCCAGGGCGATGGCCCAGAGCAAGGCGAGCCGCAGAGCTGGACCCTCCATACCGCAGCGCAGTGCCGGGGCTGAGCCGGCCCCTGACTGTCTGCGGGGCGTTGGGAAGGACGGAAGTCAGAGCAGACACCGTGGGGGAAATGCTGGAGACGGGCAGAGACAGGTGCACGGGGGGAGGGGTGGGAGTGAGAGCCACGGGCGAGGGATCAGAGGCGGCATTGCGATCCCGTCCCCCTGCTGCCCCCACCCCAGGGGCAAGGGGCAGGCGGGCAATGCCAGCGCTGGTGCCACTGGCAGCAATCGGCGGCTCTGCCAGTACCATGCCGAGGGGCACAGTGTGCCTGGCCTGGTACCCAGGCCCTGCCAGGCATGCAGCATCTTGGGGGACTGCCCCACAACTACACCGGCCGTCGGGTGCCTTGGGGGTTCCTCGACTCTCCCTGCCGTGCCAAATGCTCCCAGACGCGCCGGGTGCAGGTGGCCTGACAGCTCCAAGCCCCGTGCCCGATGGCACCGCAACCTCGCAGCTCAGCAGCCAGGCAGAGAGCTGCAGATGGGGCCTCATCTGGCCATGGCCACCCAGGGCTGGCATGCCATGTGGTGCCAATCCACTCCACCTCTCCTGGGGGAAGCCAGGTGTTTGCTGCAGTTAGCAGCTGTTTCTCTGTACTGTGTCAGGGAAGGTCCTGGTGAGCTGTGCCACAGAGTAGGGAGGGGACTCCACCAGGGTCTCTGTGCCCTGCCGCAGGGGGTCCCAGGCGCTGGAGGGCTGGGGCTGGAGGTTCGCAGGTCATTTCTAACCCTCCGGGAGGGGCCGTTTCTCTCTGTGCTGAGGAATCGCACTCTGGGGCATTTGGAGCTGGCCTGGCCTGGGCAGGACTGTGTTGCCCAGTCTAACCAACATGTCCAGCATCTGGCGCTGGTGCCCTGTCTTGCCCAGCTTGGTGCCAGGGTCTGCTTTTCCATGGAGCTCAGCATCCCTCCTCCCGCTAGCTTCAGCTGGAGCTGCAGGTGCTCAGGACCATGGGAATCTCCCGGGGCGCTGGAAGAGAACCCAGGAATCCCGATGGATATGTGGCGCTCACTCCTTCCCCAGGCTGGACAGAGAGCCCAGGCATTGTGGCTCCCCCTTCCCCCTCCTTGGGGGCTGTCAGCACTATGCAGGGCCTTGGCAGACATTGCCGGGGGGCAGCCGGGATGCCGCGTGGCTCTGAATACTGCTGCGAGGGTGGCTGGGAGCAAACGGCAGCCTCGGCACTGGGTCCAGCCGCCCTGTCACTCACCACTTGCCAGCAGCTGCTTCCTGCTCCGATGGCACCAATCCCGCAGGGAGCGGTCCCGATCCCAGGCCCAGCTCTCTTCAGGGGCGGGAGCCAGGCAGCACTGGAGCTGGGGTCACCACTGGAGACCCCACAGAGCAGGCCCCCGCCAAGTGGCGATGCCGGGGAGGGTCCCAGCTGCCCCACCTTACTGGCCCTGCAGACGTCTGAGACGGGGTTACCATAAAATACCCATTTATTTAAAAATAAACCATTCTCTGTACAAATAAATAGGCCCTATGTGTTGGCCGAGGGAGGCTCTGCAGTGGGATGAGCTGTCCTAGCTGCCCCACTCCTGCCCTCAGCATGTGGAGGTGGAGCCAGCTGCCCTGTCCCCTAGGAGGCAGATCTGGGGCCCTTTTACAGATGGGGAAACCGAGGCAGGGCAGCAGAAGGGCTGTAGCCAAGGCCAGGCAGTGAGGCAAGCCTGAGGAGGGGAGCCCAGGGCTTGCAGACAGTGGGAGCGTGGTCTGTCCCCATGCCCAGGCCTGGTGCCAGTGCGGGCACAGGGGGCTGGGGTCCATGCTGTGCTTGGCCTCCTGGCCCTGCAAGGCAGGGAGCGCAGGGGGGAGCCTATTACCCAAAGCCTGTGGGGAAGTGAGGGGATGGGGCCTTTGTCAGCCAGCAAAGAGGGCCCCAGAGTCACCTGCTCCCTCTGATGATGGGGCAGGGGGCAGCCAGGGCAGCCTGGGTCCAGAGCTACAGGGAGGCTGCAGATAAGCCAGGAGCCAGTGCTGGGCAGTTCCTCGGTCCGGGGTGCACCACTCAGGCCTGCTCCACCCTTGCAGGGCCGGGGGCCAAGGCGATGTTTGCCCCAAGCGGCTTGCCTCGGCTGCTTGCTCTCTCCCCAGGTCCCCTGCGCCGTCCCCACACCTTCGCCTTGCTGCTGGGGTAGGTGGGCTGGAAGGTGCCAGGCTCTGCAGTGTGTCTGGCTGGAGGGTCCAGTCCTGGCTGGCCCAGCCTCAGCCAGGTGGGTTCTCCATCTCCAGGGGACACCCCCTGCCTGGCCTCATCCTGCTCTGGAGCCAGTGGGGCAGGGGGCAACACCCAGCCCCAGGGTCCCTGTTAGGTTTTCAAGGTCTCCAGCGCGGCGGCCACCAGGCCCGGCATGCTGCGGTGCAGCGAGTCACTGTCCAGCCCCACGAGGCCAGGGAAGGCCATGGCCCTGCCACCGACCGTGGCCCGGACCTGCGCCTTGCACAGCCCCTTGGCGTTCTTGGAGCCCAGGTCCACCAGGATCTGAAGGGAGGGGAGGGAGGCGTGAGAGCTGGGGCACGCGCAGGGTGCTTTGCACTGGGGAGTGCGAGCCGGCAAGCCTGTGCCCCTGCCCCCCACCCCTCCGTCTAGCACTGCGACACCGCCTGCTCCGGGTGCAACACCACAGCTGGGGACCTGCCCTGCAATGTTCGGGACAGGAAGGGAAGGAGAACTTGCAAGCCTGAGCGGGGGCTCAAACCCAGGATTCAGCAGGGTGGCAGCACGGCCTGCTGGGCTTGAGCTGGAGGATTAACCTCACCCAGCCCAAGATGGGGACCAGGCTGTGGAGCGGGGCAAAGGGCACTGCAGCCACCCCAGGGCAGGGGGGTCACCACGTGCACTGGGTCCTGCTTGCACCCAAGCCAGAGTAGCTCCAGGCAGGCAGTGCCTGGTGCCGGGCTGCAGGGTGGGCACTCACCTCCTGGAAGGTCATGGCCAGGTCCCCGTCTGGCACCTGCAGCACCCAGCGGTACAGCTCCCGCATGGCCTGGACACGCCGCGCCGCCTCGGCCAGCCCCAGGCAGCCTGCACCATGGCAGAGAGTGCAGGGATCAGGGTGTGCCGGCCACCAGCCAAGCCAGGCTGGGGGCTACCCTTCTCCCGGGGGTAGCGGGCTTCATGGCAGCCACCTCTGGGGTGAGACACAGCCACTGATAACAGGGCACAGATGTACTGAGCTGGGAGACAGTGAGCCTGCTCCCAGCTCTCATGGTGGGGTGCACCTGGATGGCTGGCGAGAAGGGAAGCTGAGCTGCCAGCATGGGCCCTGGGGGAGTGGGGGCTTGGGCCTAGACCCCTGCAACCCTGCCAGCCCAGGGCACCAGGCAGAGGCTGGGTGAGGCATCCTGGGCTGGTCTCCTGGGTCAGGGGCTGCGCCTACCTCGGCTGTCGCCTGCTGCCTCATCCCCTGCGACGTCACCCCGGAGCTCTCGCTTCTCCCGTGTGGGGCGGCCCCCCGGGACTGCAGATCCTGCCACAGACAAAGGGGCTCAAATAGCCCAGTGGGAGAGGGCAGCCCCCTGCCCCCACCGGAGCCGGGCAGGACAGTGTGTTGGTGCCAGCGCAAGGAGCACAGTGCAACCAGCTCTCACCCAGCACGGCCGTGCCCCTGCTGCCCTCAGCTGGCTGCCATGCCCCAATGCCCCCCACAACAGGCACCCTCCAAGCACTTACGGTTTGGGGCAGGGGCACTGATGGGCTCCGCAGTGTCCGGTGGGGAGGTCTGAGAGCCCAGCATGGCCCACAGCTGCCGAAGGGAGCTCCGACCATGTTGCTGCAGCTCCTCACCCTGTGGGACAGACAGCAATGATGTGAGGGGGCTGAGGCGTAGGGGCAGAGCCGGCCATGGGGCAGATACCCCCACACATACATACACACACAGTGGCAGCCTGGGCAGGGTTAACGAAGGGCCTTGTTACCTCCTCCAGCTGTGGCCACCTGCCCCAGAGAGGCTATAAAAGTGGGCAGGGAGTGCTGGCTGTTCTGGAGGCTGATGGAAGAGCAGAGGCATGCGGTATGGGCTGGGGCTCTGGGGATGCATTGAGGCAGCTGGGTCTGGGTAGTGGAGGCCCACGGGGTGGGCAGGGGACACGTTGTCTCTCTGGGCTCCAGGGTGCTTGTCCAGCTCTGGTGCCAATGCAGGGGCCATGGCCAGAGCCCCGGGCCCCTGAGCACGTGTGCAATGCCACGGGGCAGGCTGCTGAGCCCCATTTGGCCCTGGGAACTGAGAGAGCTTGCAGCTGTGGCCCCGTATCGGGCTCTGTGCTCCACCTGGGCTGGGGGCAGCAGTCGGGTGCAGCCTTGGGCTCCCTGCCCTGTTACCTGCAGGAAGAGCTGCTCCTCCCCGTGTGGTGGCTCCAACTCTGGCTTTGGCTCTGCAGTGCTGAGCTCCTGCACCTGGTCCTCTAGCTGGAGCCCCTGGGGCTGGGGCCTGGGGCTGGGGGGCTGGGGCTGCCTGGCCCTGCAATGAGAACTGGGTGAGGTCCCGTCCCCAGCCCCAGCAGATGATTGCCAGGAGCACCTGGGATCCCTGCCCTGTGCCTAGGCTCATGGGTTATGTTCCCTGCTGCCCCTATCTGCCCCTCCTGTGCCCCCCAGAGGCTGCCCCTCCATTGCCCCAGTGCATCACGGCTGCAGCTCTATGCATGCCCTGGGCGTCTGCCTGGGTAGGGCACAAGCCCGGGGTGCTGGCTGCTTCCTCTGCATGCTGCGGAGAGCAGCCCCCATTGCACTGGCCTGTGCCTGGCACTAGCCCTACCCGCTTCCCTGTGCCCCCATAACTGTACCTGCGTGTGGGGCTCTGAATCCCTCCTGCTGCCTGCTTCATGGGGCCAGCGTGTCCTCCCCGAGCTGCGTCCGAGGCCTGCTCTGGGGGATTGACACAGGGCTCAGAGCTGGCAGCCAAGGGCCTGTGGGCTGCGGTGATGGGGACAGAGGGGGGCCAGGACCCCTAGCCCAGTGGCTGTGCCACACCTTGGCTGACCTGTGTAGGGACTGGGCTGGCTTCCCAGCAAGGACAGGTGCCTGCCAGGGACAGGGCTCGGGCTGGCTGCCTGGCTGGGCTTGAGCAGGGGAGGTGGAGATGTGAGCAGCTCTTGGAAACCAGCCCCAGAGTCACCCACAGCCCAGCAGCAGTGGGCACCCACCTGGTTTGGGGCAGGGGGCGTGCAGTGGCATTTGCCGCGTATAGGGGTAGGCGGTCAGGCAGTGGGCACCTGCTGGTTGGGGGGTGGCCGTACCTGCAGTCACCTGGTGCACCTGGGTAGGAAAGAGGTGGGTGTAGAGCTGCTCCAGGGCCCGTGGCAGGGCCTGGGTGAAGAAGGAGACGTCCAGGCGGGCCTGGAAGAACTCCTCGGCACGGTGCAGGAAGTCCAGCAGTCTCTGGGCGTAGGCGCGCAGCTCTGGGGGCGCAGGAGTGTGCAGGTGTCCCACGGTGCCCCCCACCCCCCACAACCCTCCAGGAGCTCCAACATGCAGCTGCTCCCCCAGCTGTGCCCCCCTGGGCAGCCTTATCTCTGCACAGGGCACCTGGGGGTGGGCAGAGAGCAGGGCTCTGGGCCAGGTCAGAGACCCCCTCAGCTGCAGCCGGGCACTTCCCAGGCCTGCACTTGCACTCAGCTCTGGCTGCCGAGAGCAGGTCACCTTGGCAGCACCTGGCACTCACCGCATCGATGCTGCCGGGTCTGGCAGGCCTCCTGGGCTGCATGGGCACAGGCCTCCTGGGCTGTGGGGGGGCCGCAGCTGCGGGCGTAGAAGGAGCAGAGGCGGGTGCGCTCAGGGGCTTGGCGCTCAGTGGGCAGCTGGGGCAGTGCCAGCAGCTCTGGGCAGCTGGGCTCACGGCTGGCGGGTGACTCTGGGGGGCAGGGGGGTTCAGCATTAGAGGGCTTGAGGATCCTGCAGCACCCATCCCTTGCCCCCAGCCCTGAGGTCTGAGCTGCTTGCCCCGGGCACTCCTGCCCTAGCCCATGCCCCCACCTGCAGTGACACTCACGCTGCATCTGGTGGGCGATCCAGTCAGCGAAGGCAGCCACGCGGGTGTAGACACCTGGCTTGCCCCGCTCCCCACAGCCGTCGCCCCACGATGTGATCCCATAGAGCACAAAGCGCTGCGACCCGGGGTCCTGGCACGTCAAGGGGCCCCCGGAGTCTCCCTGGGCCAGGAGCATCATCTCTGGTTGGCAGGGGGTGGAGGGTCCCCTGGGAACCTGCCAAGCCCCTGTCCTCTGCGGAGGGTGAGGGGACACCCAGCGAAGGGACCCAGGAGTCCTAGCTGGGGCTTCCTAATGCCTATGCCCCATGGCACATTGCCTTGCTTTCCCTCCACCCCCAGTTTGGCCCTTCCCTGGCTGGTACCTGGCAGGAGTCGATGCCACCTGACAAGTACCCAGCGCAGAACATGGCACTGGTGAGCAAGTCCCGGCCTAGTGCACCGCGGCAGGCATCCTGGCTCAGCAAGGGCACCCGTGCCTCCATCACCACCTCGGCCGCCGGCCCCTCTGCAGGTGCAAGAGCCCGTCACACCGGGGAGCAGCCACCCCAACCCCAGCTGGGCAGCGACCCAGCGCCAGGGGGCTCAGGCCAGGGCCACGTGCCCCTGCTCCCTACCCCACACCCACCTTCGTAGAGGGAGCCCCAGCCAGCGATGTAGCAGGGCGTGCCTGGGGCAGGCTCCAGGGGGCCGTCAGGCAGGCACACAGGGCTCACCCCCTGCGTGGGCACCGGCGAGCGCGTCAGCTCCAGCAGGGCCATGTCCCCGTGGAAGGTCTTGGGGTTGAACTGCAAGCAGAGGCGGTGGCAGTGAGGGTGCTGGGGCCCTGGGTGGGTGGAAGGGGGGCAAAGAGTGGGGATTTACCTTGGGGTGGGTGATGATGCGGCTGACGGGCAGCTCCTGCTCGCCCTCGTCCTGCTTGCCCAGGTTGTAGTCGCCCACCACCACCGTCCAGGCCAACTCGTTCCGGTTCCTGCCGATGGGACAGTTGTGTGAGGGGGACCTTGGGGAGCAGCCAGCCCCAAGCCCAGCACTCCCAGCACCCACTGCCCTGTGGGTGGGTGGCCAAGCTGCCCCCTACGCCCCCACCCTGCTGTCCCCTGTGCCTGTGCCCCACTGTCCCCGTACCCGGTGAAGCAGTGGGCGGCCGTGAGGACCCAGGTGGCCGCCACCAGCACCCCCCCGCACATCAGCTCCCCGTCCAGCCGCACAGACACCAGCCAAGGCCAGGCCCCGCGGGGTGCCACGCTGCCACCCACAATCTTGCCCTTGGCTGTGGTGATGTTGGGGGCTGCGAGTGCCTGGTGGCCGCACAAACCTGGGGACAAAACAGAGAAGGAAGGGCTTGGACGGGGCACGGGGGAGCAGGACTTGGCCCAGTGCTGCAGTGCCCCTTGCTCCTGACCCGCAGTCCCATGTACCCCCTAGCCCTGGCAGTGCCCTTCGCTCCTGACCAATGCTTCTCAATCTGGAACCGCAGCCCCTTCCCCACACCTGCTACTGCAGCCCTGGGGTCTCCCCATGGCATGGCTTTAGCTCTAGAGCCGAGTGCTGGTGTGGGGTGAGGGGGGCTGGCTGGGGCTGTGCCGGCGCGTGGCAGCGAGAGGCGCCATCCCACATGCACGGACCTGTCAAACTTAATTGCCATTAGCGAGGCGAGCAGGCGGCTGAGCCTGTGTGCGCTGGGGCTGCAGGCCACCGGGTCCCCAGGGGGGCAGCGCTGCCTCTGCAGCCAGGGCAGCTACTGACGCTGACCCCCATGCCCCCACGGCAGGCAGCCTCGGACCTGGCGCTGCCCTGGCCCACGCCGAGCGCTGCGGGGGACGGGGGGAAGCCTGCAGGCCTCACGACACAGCGTCCATGTGGGATGGGGGCATCCTGCAGACTGAACCCCCCCCCACACACACACATGCACAGGCCATCACCACCGTCATCAGCCCAGCCTTGGCCCCTGCCTCCGTGGATGGGGTTGTGGGGGGTGGTTCTCACCTAGAAGCGGCTGGTCCCCGTGGGTGTTGGGCAAGACCGTGCTGCTTTGCATCCCTGTGAGGCACGGAGAGAGGAGTCGGAGCCAGTCCCTGCAGTGCTCCTGGTGCTGCAGCCAGGATCAGGGGGCCTGGGCCTGGGGTCCAGCCAGGGCAGCTGGGGTGCCCAAGCCCACCCACACTCAGCCCACCCACATGCCCCACTCTGCAGTGCCCCCTTCCACAGGAGACCCCCAATACAGTCCCAGAGCCATGGGCAGAGAGATCCCCAGCAAGACCCAAGCAGGGTCCAGCCTCTCCTGCACTGTGCCAGGTGCAGGCAGCAAGGCGCAGCCATCAGCTGGAGGTGGTGGGCACCCGCCTGGGTGGGGGGCACAGGTGCTGATAGGGGTTGCAGGCCCAGCTTAGCACCCAGTTCTTTGCAGGCAGCTCCGGGGCAGACAGGACAGCGGTGGGGCCGCAGGAAGAGGGGGCGGCATTGCCCGATGTGTGCAGAGAGGCTTCTCCTGGGGGGTCTCCGGGGGATGTGGGGTTACTGTGGGTGCAGGCACAGACTGCTCTGGAGGGGTCTCCAGGGAGGCCTGTCATGGGGGTCTGCGATGCCTGGGGCGGTGCTGGCACGGTCCAGCGGTGCTGCTCTGCTGTGATGGGGGCACTCACTGTCCCCACCCCACACCTCGGTATTCCCAAGCCATGGGTCTGTGAAATGGGAGCCATGGCTGGGCCAGGCAGCCCCCCGGTGCCCCCTCCCTACCCCCACCTCCACCACGGGGGCAGGGGCTGGACTCACGGGGGCAGGGCTGGGTCTGGTTGCCGCAGTCCTGGCAGGCCTGCAACCTCCTCCTGTGCTCCGCCAACGCAGCTTCCAGTGCCAGCTGCGCGCTTTCCAGCGCTGCCTCCAGCACTCGTGTCCCACGGCTGGACAGAGCTGCCGGCACAGAGGAGTGGATTAGCCCGGCCACCGACAGGGAGCAGCAGGGGAGGGGACAGACTGGGTCAAAACTTTCTCTGTGCCCCTTGGGGCTGCTCTCGATTACCCCTCCTTCCCACGGCTACAAGCCAGGCCCCCGGCCCTGCCCTCTCCCTCCCGCAGTGCCGAGCGTGGGCTGTCTCCACACCCTGTTGCTTGGTTGACAGAATTGCACCCTTTCACATGATGGATAGGGCCCAGCAGGGTCAGAGCTGGGCGTTCGTGCCTGCCTGGCTCTGGTCTTGGTGTTCCCAGGGAGCTGCCCGCCTCGGGGCACAGCTGCAGGGAAAGGGGCCGTGTGCACCCATACAAAGGGGTCAGGCAGCCCTGGGGGTGGAAGGATTGGCTGCATCCCCCTGATCCCAGCACACTGCTCAGGCCATTCACAGTACCTGCCTGGTGGGCTGGGAGGGTCAGCGCCCCAGTCCCTGGTCCATAGCACCACCCTATGTGCCATGGGTCCCCAAGCAGCAAGACGCAGGTCCAGAGGGTCACAGGGAGACACAGAGGTGACATGTGGGTCATGCACATGGGGGGTGGACATGGGGTCAGGCACAGCGAAGGAGGGCAGGGAGCGGTCCCCATGTGGGATGGAGGATGCTGTGTGCGCTGAGCACTGCCTGGTGTGTGCACACACACAGCTCTCAGTGGCAGGGCTCCCATATCCTAGAGCTGGGGCAGCATCGAGGGCGAGCACTGTATGCGAGGCTGTGGGGGAAGCTGAGTGGGGGCTGCTGTGGCAGAGATGCCTGTGCTCGGGCACACAGCCCCAGCCACATGTGTTTGCACTAAACCAGGAACTGACTGAGGCTGCAGGGAGCGGCCAGCCCCTACACGTCATGGCCCTGGGGCTATGTGGATGTTTGTACTGGGAGTGCCTTTGCACAGCTGTTTGCAGCATGCGTGCATCTCTGTATTCATTGCGTCTGTGCACGCATAGATTCATAGATTCATAGATGTTAGGGTCGGAAGGGACCTCAATAGATCATCGAGTCCGACTCCCTGCATAGGCAGGACAGAGTGCTGGGTCTAGATGACCCCAGCTAGATGCATATCCAACCTCCTCTTGAAGACCCCCAGGGTAGGGGAGAGCACCACCTCCCTTGGGAGCCCGTTCCAGACCCTGGCCACTCGAACTGTGAAGAAGTTCTTCCTAATGTCCAGTCTAAATCTGCTCTCTGCTAGCTTGTGGCCATTATTTCTGGTAACCCCCGGGGGCGCCTTGGTGAATAAAACCTCACCAATTTCCTTCTGTGCCCCCATGATGAACTTATAGGCATGTACATGCACGTGATGCATGTACATGCACCTCTCTGGGCATGTCTACACATGTGCATTTACTAAATTACTGCGCAGTATGGGCGCATGTCTACAAGTGCATGCCCGTACTGTGCAGTAAATATGGCGACTTATGCCAACTTGAGCATAAATGTGATACCTGCATCGTGCAGGTATATTTATGCCCAATTAGTTACTGTGCAGTAACATATGTGTAGGCGCCTTACTGCACAGTAACACTGTGTGTGTGGACTGATTTGGGATTAACTTTAGTTCCCGGTCAGTCCACGGACAGCATTAATGTGCTCTAACACCTGCACATGTAGATGCCGGCCATTCCTGCATACTACGCAGTAAGTTACTGCGCAGTAAATTTAAGCCGGCATGTGTAGATGCCTTCTGTGTATCCATGGGTGGTGTTTATATGTATTTGCGTGCATGTACGTGTGCATAATTGTGTCCATGCACATTTCTGAGTGTTCATTGGTGGTATTTCTGAGTATTTGCATGTGCGCACGTGTGCATAACTGTGTCCATGGTTGGTGTGTGTGTGCATGATGCATGTGGTATGTATGTGCATGTGCATGCACATCAGCCTGAGCTGCCTTTTGCTTCTGCTCAGCTCCTCACATGCTTGCCCAGAGCCTGGTGCTGGGGCTGGGCTGCAAAGGGCAGCTCCAAGCCCCCCTCCCTGATCTGGGCCCTTCCTTTTCCCTCAAGCAGGAATCCAACCCACGGGAGAAGGAGCTGGGCGTTGTGGGGGGAGGCTGGACTTGGCCTCGGGAGGGACTCGCCCCTCTTGGTGCAGTCGCAGGTGCCCGTGGCGGGGAGTGGAAGCGACTGCCCCCGAACCTCCTTGCACGGTCACAACCCACTGCCTATCCCCCACGCCCTGCAGCACCCCACAGGCCCTGCCACAAGGGACCCACTTGCATCTGCAGAACAGGCCAGGCTGCACCCGGACCGCAAGGATTCTGAGAGATGGATCCTGCCTGCCCTGCCTGCCTAAGGGGGGAAACTGAGGCACGAGAAGGCCTTCCTGGAGTCAGGGTGTGTGCGCGGCAGAACTGGCATCAGGGGTCCTGGTGTCCAGCCCCTGCTCTGTGAGGGCATGCTCCCTTACTAGAGCCAGGGAAGAAACCCAGGAGTCCCGGTTCTGTCCCCTCCCTCTGCTCACCAGCCAGAGCTGGGATCCCAACATCCTCTTGCTCTGACCATTGACTGCACTCCCCTCTCCAAATCAGGCCCAGGAGTCCTGGCTCCTCCCCAGCCCCTTCTCTACCCGCTTGGCAGCTAAACAGCCCTGGGGGCAAAGCCCCTTGCACATGAGCCCCTTGCACAGGTGCCCACCTGGGCAGCTCTGCCCGCTCCAGGGAGGTGAAGGTAATGCTGGTGGCTGGGGGGCTGCACTCACCTTGCAGGACGCTGGCGGGCATCAGGTACAGCTCCCTGCCCAGGGGGGCCCCAGCGGCCAGCTGGAGGAGGCAGAGCAGGGGCAGCAGCATGGCACGGCCGGTGGGGACTGGGGTGCGTTCGTGGCCCAGCCTGGCTGGAGCTGGGAGCTGCCTGGGGCTGGCTCCTTCCCTCCCGCTCTGCTCTCGTCTCCTGGCTGCCGGCGCTGACCGTGACAGTGGAACAATGGGTCGGGGCGAGTGGCGTTGTGTATATATACAGTGCCACGGGGGGCACAGGGCCGTCGGTTCCCAGGCCGCAGGACACACAAACAGCTGAATTCATGCCAGGCCCGGCTGCTGGGAAGGACGGGGGGGTTGGGGCCGATCCTGTTTGAATCCATTTGGGTCCTGGGCAGCGCGGGGCCCTGGCTGGCTGGCTCGGGCGCACGGGGCCGTCTGTGAGCTTCCCCGCTCTGAATGCGCCCATTGTCTGCTGCCCCAAGCGCGCGGAGCCATCAAAGGCTCCCTAATGATCAGAGGCCGCCCGCCTCGCTTGATCACTTTCACGCTTCCCGCCATGCCAGCCCAGCGCTGCCCGCTCGCGGCCCAGTGCCCCCAGCCCCGCGGCCGGCCCAGACGTGAGGCTTTGGGGAGCATCGGGGGGAAGGGGGCAGGCTTGCCAGCAAATCGGGCTGGGCTGGCTCCTCGTGCGCTCGGCCATCACACTTTGGCACAGTGTGCGACCCGCCGGCAAGTTCAAAGGCAGGCGGCAGCGAGGGCCCGGCTGGGCTGGGGGGTCTTGTGTGCTCCCCCAGAAGGGTAGAGGCCGTGCGGGGTCTCCCCAGCGCTGAGCCCGAGCCGTGCAGCAGCTGGGATGGATCCTCCCTGTCAGGGAGCACCATGGGCAGCTCCGCATCCCACGCGGCTTTGCCCTCCCAGAGGGCACCTGGCTGCGCCACCCTGCCAGGTCCCGTGTCTTCCCAGAGCCCCTGGTGCTGAGCAGCTCTGCTGTGGGGTGCCCAAGGAGCAGGCTT